ATTATAACTGCTTTGATGTCCTGGATGGATTCAACTTTTATTTATTTATTTATTTATTTATTTATTTGGTACAAGGTCTTGCTACACAGCTTGGACCTGGGCTTACAGGGGTGTGCCACCATGCTCAGTTTCAGTGACCAGCTTGGCCCGCCAGGGCCGGCACAGCATGAGGTACTGGAGATCAAACCAGGATCCTTGTGCTTGCCAGGCAGGCCCTTAGACCACTGAGTTATCTCCCCAGCTTCCTGGATGGATTCAAAATGTTTACCTTCTATAGTCATTTTGACTTTGGAAAGAGGCAGAAAGTGATGACAGGTCCACTAAATAAGGGGGACAAGGACACACTGAATGTTTCTGTTTTTCTTTTGAGACAGGGTCTCACTATGTAGTTCAGGGTAGCCTTGAACTCATGGTAATCCTCTTGTTTCAGCCTCCCAAGTACTGGGATCACAGCCATGCACCAGCATGTCAGGCTAACACCCAATGCTTTTTATAAGCCTACCTTCCCATGGCCTGGCATTGGGCAGCAGCACTCATTGTATTTTTTTTATTATACTTAATAAAAGAAACAGAAAAGACTTCCAGAACTGCCTCAGAAAGTGACAAGAATGACAGGATGGTTGTGTTAGAAACAAGGGGCAGTTTTAGGGGGGTGGTTAATGGCAATGTGTCTTTTACTACATACTTTTAAACTTCAATATTCACTGTATGAGGGCCAGCCAAATAGCTCAGCAGATTAAAGCGCCTGAAAGCAGGTGCAGGGCCTGAAAGCAGGGTTTGATCCCTGGGCCTGCCATGCTGGCCCCAACCCCCGGGGTGCACTGAGAAGGCAACTGAGATTGGGCGTGGTGGTGCTCGCCTGTAATCCCAGCTCTTGGGAGGCTGTAAACAGGTGAATCACTGTGGTCCGATCTAGTAGTCAGACCCTGAACACCCTGTAGACCCTTCCCTAAAATACATTTAAAAAAAAAATCATTATGTTTCAAGCACTCATGTGTATAAAAATGTGTGCACAGGTAAGTGCTTTTCTCCTTCTATGAACTGATGAACTGACTGGTTTTGTAAGACACAGTCCCTCAGGGAGAGCAGAGCCCCCAGATGTCAAAGCATTGGAACACATGGCTCACATAGTCAAGGGGAGGAAAAATAAACAAAGCAGCCTGAAAAGACAAGAGATGTTATTCCAGGAACCAAGCTGAACATCTGTTTCCACAAGGGCAAGATCAGCTGCGCCAAAAGACGCTGGTGTATCCGGTGAGAGCAGGCCTGTCCTAGTGTTCTCCTCACTGAGGCACAGCGCCCCACCCGACCACCTGAGGGAGGATAGCTGGCTCCCATTTTCAGTCAGCTGGCTCAAATCATGGCAAAGATGAAGAGAGCTGCTCACCTCGCAGCAGCCAGGAATCAGTGAAAGGAAGGGCCGTCCTCTTCCAGGTCCCTCAGTAAGCTCCACTTCCAACCACAGCCTCCTGTTCTCACAGCAAGTCAGTTGTAGCACCCCATGATTCAGTCACTTTCTACAAGCACTGCCTGGGACCAAGTGGGCCTTGGCAGGGCATTCCCCATCTAATACACAAGGACCAAAAATTAGCCCCTGCCTTTGGCCACTGTGGTCATGACAAGGGTACTGCCACTATAGGAAGGGCCCATGCTGACACCCAAGGTCCTAGGTCTTCCTCTGTGAAGACCACGGAGCCCCAGCACTCCTCAGTACCCAGAGGCCGCAAGTACCCAGAGGCCGCAAGCCAGGAAATAGAAATTCCAAGCCACGGAGCTCGAAACCATGCTAAGCAGCTTACAGGGGCTTTAAAGATTACTACAGTACACACATTTTACTGCATTAGACTAAGACTGTGAGATTTCCTTTTCTCTGTCTACCCAACAGGATGGAAAGGCTACAGTTTTCTTTATGTGTTGCTGAGTCAAACTTTAGGAACTCTCTGCAAGTCCTTTAATAGTGAGGTAAGTAAGGCAACTGCTCAGTGATTGGAAGATAAGAGTTTCACAGCCCCAGGTCCACAGATGGCTATCGGAGCCTGTCTCCAGCCCCAGGCTAGCTGTGGAAGCGACAGCTGAGCTCCAGGAGTCAAGCTGCCCCACAGCCACAATTCTCAGGCAAGCCACAGGGAGAAACATCTGATGAGTCTTGTGGGAATTATTACCACAGCTCGGCTTGCTTTTGGCTGTGTTGTTACCTCTGTGCTGTGACCTCATCATTCTTCACCAATTCTCTCCCTTCTCCCACCTAAAACAAACAAACAAACAAAAACTGGTGGCTTCCTTCCCCCTCCTGCTTTAAAACTTCCCTTTTAAAAGAACAAATCTTCATTATGCTTCTCTTTTTAGAAACGCATTTGTAAAGAACAGAATCCTCTTTATGAAGACATTAAGTGGTTTTCCTCCATTATTTTAAAGACACTTACAGAGAAGATGGAAAATTAGAAGGATCTAATGTGGAACTACATAGTGGGCTCTAATAGCTTTCAAATACCAAAAAGGCTGTGACAAGGTCCACGAGATAGGGGCTTTCACCTCTGAAATGGAGAAAAAAGAATCAAGAGCACATCAAAGGGCATTTCACTAGAACGAATAAAAATGAAACAACACAGAGCTAAGATGGATATAAAATGAGGGATTTAAAAAAAATACAGAGTGGCAAGTTATCAAAAGCAAGATCAACGCAGACAAGACATGAGGTAGGATTCAGGCTCCTCAGTGAGAGTTGGGTAGAATTTAACTAGCATGATTTAAAAAAAATAAAAAAGGAGAAGGACAAAGAGGAGGGGGAGAAGACAGAAGAGAGAGCAGGAGGCCCCACAGGCAGTGTGTGGGAATACTTGGCATGGCCTGGAGGCTCAGGGGGCAGAGACTGCTGGGCTAGAGCAGGGGTTCTGAGGGGAACACACACACGCATGGAACTCTGGAAAGGGCTGTGACATTGCAACTGAAAGAGGACGTGTCTCTGGGTGTTTTTTCTGTGAGCACCACTGATTGTCTGCATAACTCAAAGCTCCATTTTCACCAAAATTTGGCCAAGAACGTTCTATAACAGCATAGAAGCTGGCTTACAATTCTACTACAGGAAAACAAAAAGACATTCCGTTCTCTCCAGAAGACTTATGACGGGCCAGTAATTTTTATACTCAGTACCTGCAGTAAGGTAGAGACAGGTCCAGTGGTCCCCAGTGACCACTTATCTCCCGGAGTTAGAGATCACTCGCAAAAGCACATGCTCACACCAAGAGGAAAAAAATGCTGCTGGTAAACACAGCATGCGATAGTGTGTCTCAGCGCCAGAGCGTGACAGTTGTATTTAGTGATCAGTGTGACAAAGCGTTGCAGGTAATCTGGACTATTAGGGCCCAGATTTTAAGACTTTTTGCTTTCAGAAATCAGAACAGTTAAGGGTTTGCCTGAGAGGAAGGCCACCTCCCCACTGGCATTCCCGTTGAGGCTGGGTGGGGGAAGGGAGGGTCCAATCCTGACTGTCTGCATGGTGATCTGTACTGCTCCTCTGCCCTGGTGTCTGGGTGTGGCGGGGGGTTGCACACACTTCCACCTGTACGCAGGAGTGGGTGAGAGGAGCTGCCAGAAGACGCCAGGCCTCTAGGGTCAAAGCCAGTCACCACCACTGTTGTTAAAGGGCATGTCACTGCATGGTAGAAAGCTCATTAGAGTTTACTGAAATGCTCCTCAGCATTTCTTAGAACATTTCTGACTTGTATTAAGTGCATATTACAAAAAAGAATATTTCCCACACTCAGCCTAATTGAATAACATTTGGATTTTGTTTCAGCGCTTGGAGCCCCTCTGTCAGCAGTGGCTGGGGGAAATCCATAACAATTTCACAGCTCACACTAATGTTTTTACAGCTATTGTTTATGATTTCCCAGAAGGAGAGGCTAGAATGACCCCCGTGCCTTGTGAGGCCACACGACCGCAGATGAGGAGGGCAGGGGTGTGAGAACTAGACAGGCACGAATTCAGGCACTAAGACTCTGCTTGCTGCTTGTGTGACCCTGAACAGGCTACCTGACCTCTGTCCTGCAGCTTCCTCTTTTACAAAATAGAGGCAATAATAGTTTCTGTCTCACAGAATTCTGAAAGCAAAATAAGGCACTTAGTTAGCACAGCACTACACATGAAATATATTCTGTGTAATCAATCTATTAATGCAGTGTCTCATAAATATTCTAAAACTTCTTGTGCTAAAAATAGTTAATATAGTCAACTGTATTAACTATTCAACATTGTCACTTTAAGAGTAACTTGTCTCTGTTATGGTTACATAGGTGTTTCTCTCTGAACTTATTTTCTTACCTAAGAAAAAGAGACAACTCTACTTGGCCCACTAATATCACACAACTGAAAGAGAAAACAATCAGGGAAAGTATTTTGAAACCTGAGATATTCTGCCTATATAAAAGTTTTCAACTAAAATTTGATTTTTAACTCATATAACAGAAATAAACCTATCATCACCATCAACACAGGCATGTTAGACTTTCCTTATCATGACTCAAGACCTGTTCCCAAGCCTCCTCTAATTAATTTTGACCTTATAGTGATTCAATATCCTCATGTGATAATGATTCACATGTTTTAATTTGCCAAATGTTCCTTCTAGATTATTTTCAGAAAGGTCCATTGCATCTTCCTTAGCACAGTCACGACTTGGATAGCGGATAAGATGTGAGTTGTTATTTCATTCCAACTTAAGCTCAATCACATGTTTATCCCTAATTTAGATCATCTACTCTTGTAGCTATGGAAAATTAGAAGCAGCATGGCGCGGCTGATGAGACACGGATGTCTAGAATCTGTCATTGAGGAGCCGGCTTTAATCTTCACTCGTTTATTTTACCTTTCTGAACCTGCATGTGAAAAATGGGAACAGCCCATCTACCTCTTGAACAAGGTAGCAGAGAAAGAGTCGCCTGACACAGGATGTCGTCTCTAAGGAAGAATCATCTAGCAGCGCATGGGCAGCGTCTACTTACAGCTCGCAGATGCCAGCCCTGGCAGGGAGGAGAGGGACAAGCTGCAGCAGAAGCTTAACGCCGTTCTGCCATTCTTCTTCTCTCTCGAACTCACAGTACAGGTAGCTGCATTCATCAGATGAAAACTGATAGAAAACATAAGTATCTTGAAAGTAGAGATGCTGATCCACTGTTTGAAACAAACAACAGAAAAGATGTGGATTATTTATGAATATATTATTTAGATAGTCTAAATCAAATCATATATTGAAAGCTCTAATACTTATGAAGGAGAAGCCAGAAATAAGACTATCATTACATATCCTAATCTCAATTAGGTTCACAGCCTCATTGAACTTAAAAGAACTTGCTGGCTAGTCTAGTCTCACTACTTGAGGATTTGGCCAGCATATTCATACACATTTTATACTTTCCTGCTACACCGATAAATGACAGTGAAACCAATGTCAAGTCAAAGAAGGTAGTCAAAAATACAGTTTAGTGTCTTACAGCTAATTAACATATTTAATTGCTTTGGTGATATAGAAATATAACATGATAACAAGTTAGAAAGTAGTGATTCTCATCTGAAAGTGATTGTGCCCCCAAGGGCATAGTTGGGGAATTAAGAGGCCTAACTGGTGTGTGTGTGTGTGTGTGTGTGTGTGTGTGTGTGTGTGTGTGAGAGAGAGAGAGAGAGAGAGAGAGAGAGAGAGAGAGAGAGAAGAGATACACTGACATCTACAAGGTAGAAAAAAAGGATGCTACTAAAAACCCTATAATGCACAAGACAGCCCTGTGTAACCAAGAATGATCTTATCCAAAACGTCAGTGCTACCAAGATTTTAAAACCCTATTTTGCCAGGGCGATAGCTCAGTGGCATAAGTGCCTGCCTGGCAAGCCCAAGGTCCCAAGTTCAATCCCCAGTTCAACAAAAGAAAAGACCCTGGCTAACTTTGTAGAAAGCTGTATTGATGTACTGCTGAGTCTATTAAAACCCTATTTTGAAGAACTCAAAAGTGGCTATTTTGATTCCAAAAAGCTCTAGTATAAAACACTGCTAACCAAAAACCTCAACTTAGCAAATATGCTAATAATCTCTCCATTCCTTGACAGTAGTTAACTGATTTTCTAAATAAGAGAATCAGAAGCGAGGTATTACTGTCTAGGAAGATTACAGCCACATTCTCATTCACATCATTCTTTCACTACGGCACCAGGGCTGTGTCCTCAATATTCATTAGTGATAGGAAAGGGGGCTTCTCCATAAGCAAGCAGCACCTGAGAGATGGAGCTAAATAAAGAAACCAGATTGCTTGGCTTCTAATCCTTCAACTCCCTGGACTCAGCTAAGGAAAGAGATACTGCCATCTATTTTAGTTTCTAGTTAGCATCTATTTTCTGTCCTATTTAAACAGCTAACCTTCAGGGGTCACATCTCTAAGTGTTCATGATTACTGATTCAATTAAAATGGCACACACATCCCACTCATAAAAGCAGTTTCTGATGATTGCTCTAAGTGCAGGAAGATAAATACACATTGAGAGTAACTAAAGCTGTCACTGATTAAAAACAAGTTTCTGAGCATATTTCAAGTAGAGAAGGGATGGAGGGTAAGGGAAAGACTTAAGGTCTTAGCCTATAAATCAACAAGTACTTAATTATTTTTTCAGAACATGTAAGAAATAAGTGACTCCAAAGATGACCTGTCATTTTTACTTAGAACGTAAGAAAGAATGCAAACGTTTACTTTCCAAAGCAATTTCCATCCAGTTCATAATATCCCCTAGAAAACCAAATCTATTTTAGCATAATAGCTTAATAAAATGATGATGCTGGGATGTAGTTCAGCAGCATAAGCATCTGCCTGGCAATCACAAGGTCCTGAGTTCAATCCTTGGTACCCAAAAGAAAAAAAAAAAAGGAAAAAATGATGTTGCGTCTTTACAAGGTACAATACTAACCTGATGACATGATCCCCATGTCCAAAAGCAGCTGCCACACTCCTATGGCCATCGCTCTGCATGGGACAAAGGGACAGTGCTCTAGAAGCCAGTCAACCAGCTCTGACCCAACACAGCTTCTCCTGGAAAAAATAAAACCATTCACAATAAGACACTGCTGTCACATTTGCCAAAAAAAATTGACATTATGTCCCATCCCTTACACGGGTTTGCTTTTGTTTTCTGATTTTTGATATAGGGTCTCACTATGCAGTTCAGACTAACAGTGGTCCTCCTCTGTCTCAGCCTCCCCAGTGCTGGGATTACAGGCACACACCCAGCTTTGGGGCCAGCATGGCATGTGGTACCGGGAATCAAACCTTGGGAACTCGCACTTGCTAGGCAGGCACTTAGACCATGGAACTGTCTCCCCAGTCCGTGCATTTTTAAATAAGGAGTCCCAAAATAAATATCATAACTTCTTATTTGTCTTTTAGATTAATGTTTCACTATTCTCCTTGGGGAAAATTAGGAATCAAATTCTAACTACCTCACAGGTAGTACTCACATATCTTTCCAAATGAACCCTACTTGCTTTTGCTGCTAGAAAATAATTTTTAGGAAAGCATAACCACTAGAACAGTCCAGGTCCCACAGTCAGTTCTAGAATTATAATTTGTTTGAACAAATAAAGGAAGACATACAGTAGTCCTTTTTATAATGTTCTGCCTTGGGAAGCCACATGCATCAAGTTGATGGTGATAAGTTTGGGTTCAACCATTTATAGGTTTTTATTTAGTTCTCTTGGGAATAAACAATTCAAAGAAGACTAAACAAAGTGGGAACATTTCCTGGAAATAGCGACATACTCCTGAAATCCCAGTACTTGGGAGGCTGAGGCAGAAGGATTGCTGTGAATTCAAGGCCAGCCTGGACTACATAGTGATATCCTGTCTCCAAATAAAAAGGACTATTCATCACAGCATGAAGTTTTGTTTACCAGTCTTTAGAGATCAAACCATAAAATTTGTCTCAAAGAACAATTAATTTGATTGTTCACCTTTTTAATATAATCTGAGACAATCTATTAATCAGATCATAAACCCATAAAATCCAGATGTATGTATTGGATCCTACTAAACGCATACATAAATCATGTCTGTAATCTATCTTAAAATATATAATTATGGTTCCACAGTCTGGGTATTATAAGCAGTATCTTCATATCTACTTTCCCATCTGTATTGGCTTCAAAGGAAAAACAAAAGAAAACACTCTCAAATATATAATTTTTTAGTTGCACATAATGTCATTGTATTCTACTCCCCCCCCCCTTTTTTTTTTCAGGACCAGGGATTGAACTCAGGCTCTTGCACTTGCCAGGGAAGCACTTATTCCACTGAGCCATCTCCCTAACCCTTCTACCCCCTCTTATGAGAAAAGATCACTAAAGTGTTAAAAGATGATACCGTGTAATGGACATCATTACTCAATAGTATTGAAGGATGTTAATATTTGTTTTATCTATCTCTTGTGATTGGAAAAAGCATAAATACTTTAAATTGATACAGTAATGGATAATGTGAAGAACTGCCAGAGGTGCTACATTTTCTGCAATGACAGAATATATGGTAGTGGAACTTTCCATTGAGATATTTGATCAAATATTCTGGCTTTTAATAAAGCACTTTTCTGGTAAAATATCATTGTTTGAAAGATGCGCTAAAACAAGACAATCTCAGAACTACTCACCTTTAGCATTTAGACAACAGAAACAGGAGTAGTCAAAAGATAAATGTTTTAAAACAAAATGAAACAGATGGCAACAAAATAGTCAATCAAACCAATCAACATTAACTGCCAATTCTATAGGCCATCTTTCATGGTAGAGATTCAAAGTGTTTTCACTAAGTAATTCCTCAACACCTCTCAATTAGCCAGCATTTTTAGGCTTTGAAAGAAGCTTCACCCCACTATTACATTCTGTAATGATGTTACTGATATTCTCTGTAATGCCTAGGCCTGCCCTGGTGCCTGCCATCTCCTGCAATCTCAGAACCTACATGGAACATTTAGTACAGCAACCGAATCACCAAGCTGCAAGTTTCACAGACCAGGAATTCTCAAAATTCACACTGAGGAGTCCCCCCAGGGTATGATAAAGTGCAGACCGATGCAGGTAAGACCGTGTGAGACCTGAGATTCCCCAGGTGATACTAGGGACCAGAGCCATAATCTTCCAGCTCTGCCTGGTCATTGGGAAGGGCTCACCCTGGATTTTTTTTTGGGGGGGGCAAAGACTTTGAACCAATATGCTAGAACACAGTATTGCCCCAACAACCTTAATAACAGGGCCTACTCTCAGGTAAGCTACTCTTTCAGTTACATCCAATCCCTTTCCACCCCTCCCTAATATTATCGAGGTATGTTTTAAATCATTTTCAGCTATCCATCTGCACCATGGGAAACATTAGTATAATGAGAAACTGTCTTTAATATCACTAAGGCAAACATTAAACTCCCGGTCGCTGGATTGCTGAGCAGATCTGTGACAATCCAGTTAAAGTATCTACATCCACCTGACGGGAAGAGCAGTGAGGGAGAGAACAGCGTTGGCTGGAACCGAGCGATTTAAATACCGACTGCAGTTCCGACCTGCAGAGGATTTCCAGGCCGTTCTCAATCCAGAAACTGCCCCAGGTACATGCAGACCTAACAGTGGCGCAGTAAGTACTGGGCAGGAGCACTGCGATGTGGCTGTGACTAGCCAAGGCCCGTGCAACTGCAATAACAGAATGGGAATTCCACTAAAGCTTGGAGTGGAAAATCTCTTTATTCTTGGCTGCCTCCTGTCTCCCATTCTAACTTTGGCAATTAATTCAATGTAATACAGATACTAGCACCAAATATGAACAGGGTGGTGGTGTTCCGTGACTTTTTTGTACAAAAGAAATGAAGTCTCAAACCAGTGTGACTTCCTATAGTACCAAATGAAAAGTTTTCAGAGTTGAAAGTGAATTCTCATGTGGCGTATGGGAAATATTTTACCTCAATTTACTACAAGACAAATGAGGATGATCCATCCTACACCACCAATGAACAATGTATCTTTAAACCCAGAACATAGATTAGAAAAGTAGTTCTGCCCCGATCACAGTAAAACATACTCCCCTCGCTGGGCTCCCACTGAAGCCTAAATATGTTGACTTTGACCTCAGATGGCTCTTTTTCCATGCACCCAATTAACACACATCTCACAGGTCTCTTTTCTGTCTATTTCCATGGAGAATACAATAAACACAAAGGTACTAAGGATAATGGTGGCCCTTACAGTAGCCTGTGTAGGGACTAAAATGAATGTCATGAACTTGCTCACAACTAGGCCCAAAGACTTAAACATATAATTTTAGTTTTTAAATATTCAGGTGTGTCTAAAGTTGGTAATATCATTTATGTTAAAAGAAAAGGACGAGCAATGTGAGGAAGAAGAGGCAAGGGTGTCCCTTGGGCCATCCAAAGCTGCGCGCCGCTGCATCTTGTGGCCAGTGCCTGTGTCCCACCACCATCATCACCATGCTCAAGAGAAAGGCTAAAGAGAAATGCTAAAGGTGACAAAGCCAAGGTGAAGGATGAACCACAGAGAAGAAATGCAAGGCTGTCTGCTAAACCAGCTCCTCCAAAGCCAGAGCCCCAGCCTAGCGGGCCCCTACAAAGAAGGGAGAGAAGGTACTCAAAGGGAAAAAGGGAAAAGCTGATGCTGGCACGGATGGGAATAGCCCTGCAGAACATGGAGATGCCAAACAGAGCAGGCACAAAAAGCTGAAGGTGCTGGAGATGCCAAGTGAATTGTGTGTAGTTGTGATAGTGGTGTGCTTCTGGTCACTGTGCAGTTTGCAACACTATTTTTTTATCAAGTTTTATAAAAAATGTAAAATTTTGTTTTACTTTTTTTTTTTTTTTTTTAGAGTTATGTTATTAGCACATAGCACACTTCATTGTTGTTTTGGGGGGAAGGAGCACAAGTCGGTAGTACAGTGTCCCCAAAGCTGGATTGATGCGAGGAAGGCACCTTTCCCTGCTAATTCTGAGAGACTCCCTCTTGGCTCCCAGGAGGTGGGAGTCCCTGAAGTTGACACATGTGGCCACCGTGGCATAAATGCCTTCTGGTACAGGACAGCTCCCCGTTCATTTTATGTCCTCCTTTCTTCTGCCATCAATCAGCATAAACTTAATTCCCTTAAGCCCAGAGACCTACTGGGACCTGTCGTTAGCAGTGTGTTAGGCAATCTGGACTTGCCACTAATGTTGAGATGGTAGCCACAGAGTCATGATTTCCTTTTCTATGGCAATCTTCCGTAGATGATTGTGAATCTTCGGTTTGATAATTCTGCTATTTTCATTTCTTGAAAGTCAGAGTCAACTTTGTGAAAAGTTGTTAACATGCTACATGTGAGATGTCAACCCTTATCGAAACTTCCCCTACTTTTGAGCCTCAAATGAAGATGTTATTGGATTTTTATGGTAGCTTTCTGATTTTTGGTAGTCTATCCAAGAAAAGAGTGTAAAAGTTGCTGTGTACTGTTAGAGATTGTGTGTTTATGCTCTGCCTGAAATACCTGATTGTTTAGGAAAAGTATCTTTAATAAAGCTGGATACAA